AAATCACTCTGTATTTTGTTAAGTCTTGTGTAGACTTTTGTATAGAACCTGTCAAGTTATAGTCATCATACTATAGTAGAGCAGCTTCTGATATCACTATAGTTAAAGGAAAACTACAAGTTAACAACATGAATGTTTTTGGATCATTGCACTCAAAATCTATAGATGATTAGCCATGTCGATATAATTTTTCAATACAAATAAAGTCCATGCAGGCTTTTATAATATTAGAACTTGTATAGAATAAAAAAAAACAATCTTTGTCACTATTTAAGAATGTTGATACTTTTAATTTAAATTGTTTAATTATAAGTTATTATTATTCCTTATCATTATTATTAAGAATTTTCTTATATTTTAAATCTAATTAGAATAATATTTCTCGAATAATATATATTTTTAGATATATTTTAATATATATAGGGACACCTATAGCAAAAACAGGAGTTGGGACTATATATTATATAGCTCCAACCTCTGTGGGTGTTCTCATATTTTCTTTGATCCTAAAGTCTAATCTCTTTCTAGTTCATAATATACTTAGGGAATATGAACTTGATTTTTCTCATCATGCATGAATATATATATATAGTGTATTTTTCATACATACAATTATAGTTAATTTAGGATGTTCACTAGTACTAGCTATGCTATATATATATACTTTTTAAAGAGACTTGTAAGTTAATTTTCTCATATCATGTATAGTGTATTTGCAATATAAACAAATTATATTTAACTATAGTTAATTCAGGATGCTCACTGGTGCTAGTTATACTACACATACTTTTAAAGAATCAGAGTTTCTACAAACATTAATTTGTGCCTATATTTGGTATAGTAATTATATTTAATTATGGGAACTTTTTATTTAAATTGAAAAACAAACTATAGTATAGATATATTTTATATAAAATAAAATTCTAGCACTTGTAATTTTGTATATTGTACAATACTGGTCCATACCTCATATAAGATAAATTGTCTAATTAAAAAATTTTAGTATATAATGCATAGTATTATTATAAATCCTGATTTTTAAGAAGTTTTACTACATAAATAGAATGCAATGTACCTTATAAATATATGCTAGTTTGTTTTATATAAAGTATATATCTTTACTCTGTAGAACACTTTTTGTTATATTTTGATAAGGCATATTTTTATTTTTAACATAAAGTCTTTAAATTAGATATATATTATAAAACCTGTATATAATCAATTATAGTAGTGAGAATTTGATATATGTACGTATGTGAATTTGGAAATTTTTTAATGCATTATCATTAAAGTAATTATTTTTATAGATATTATATAATTTGCATAATTATAATAAATCTTAATATGTATAAAAAGAGATTAAGCATTATTTAATGCAAATAGATATATCATTATATCTAAAACAATAAATTTAAATTCATTAATTAAAAAAAAATTAGAAAAAATGTTTTTATCTGCTTTCTTAAATACTGAAGAATCTAATACTATGCCATTAACTACTTCAACCATTTCAACTATAAGCAGAAAAAAACATAAAGCTAATACTAGAGTTAGCTATAATAATTAAAATCATACTACCTATTTTTTTTGTATAGATGAAAATGATTTTAAGCTTGCATACTGTAAAATATATGAATATAATCTTATTAGGTCTCAAAAAACTCTATATCCATATATTGTAAGGGTGATAACACATCTAATATGATAGCACATTTACATAATAAGCATAAAATTATTAAAGATAATTATACTAATTACTTAGATGAGCATAATGAAATATAGATTTTTAAATTAAATTAAGCATTATAAGTTATTATATACTATTATATTAATATATAATTAATTGATTACTTAGCTAAAATGTGATCAAACAAGAATTTCTGACTATTTTAACAATACAGCACTTTCATGTTCACTACATATGCAATAACTAATTGCAAAAAAGTTAATTCAATTTATTATTCAGTTTGTTGAGCCTCTTTATATTTTGCAGAATAATTTTTTTCATGATTTAATGTATATATGTGTGTCCAGATTTCAAATTTTATGTAATAAAACTGTCAAGAGATTAATACACAAAGCATATAATTAAAGCCAAAATCAACTAAAGTTTTTGCTTATTAGTAGTGCAATAGCTATTTATTTGTCTACTGATTTGTAAACAGCTAAGTTTTGTTATGGTTATTTGGATGTTACTGTAACTTGGATGTTCTCAGATTTTAAACTTTGAGAAGCTTTACTTTCTTGTGACCATCTTGCATATCCACATACTGGAGAAGCAAGTAGTGAAGAATTGTTTTAATTTATATGTAAATAGCATCTTGAAGCAACAGTTTTTACTTAGCTATTGATAATAGTATAAACATAATTAAAGGAATAATTTATTACAAAACAACTACTTTAAGAATATAATATGGCAATCTTGTGCTGCATATATGTTACATCTATTAGTTAGGAAAGGATTAAAGCAATGTAAAGTTATTTATTGTTATGTTAAAAGTTTACAGTCTTTTTTTCAACTTTCTAAACAAGCACAATGGTTATATAAAGCATAGTCTACAGTTAGTCAGAGTAAAGCAATTCAAAATCTTACTAAAAATCCTTTAGATATTTTAACTGATTTAAAAACAAGATGGAATGCTATCTATTGGTCTGAAAACATGTCTTAAAATTGCATATTGCAATGAAATTTGTTTCAACTTCATTACTTGCCAAATTAGATCATATTTCACAAAAAGAGAATGAAAATTTGGATCGATTATGCTTATCAGCTAGTGAAAAAAGGTAATTAAAATTTTTGTAATTTTAATATTCTTTTTTGAATTAGAATATTTGGTTTTGTAATCTTTATTAAGTTAAAACAAGCTCTTAAATTGAGCAAAAAAGAAAAAAGTATATTTGTAAGCAAAAGAGTAAGGATCTTTATTGCAATTTTCTTTTGCTTTTATATCTTGCATTAGACTCTTACTGACTATTAGATTATTACATCATTTATTATGCATGTTACTAAACTAACAAAAGGAATTGTCAATATTATATATTAATCCTTCATATGATATAGTCAATCAATAATAAAATTATTTATTTTAAGTTTATTCTAAAATCTATGTTATGGATAAAATTCTTTATTCCATCGTTCACAGTTAGATTGAAATTATTTATATGTAACTTCATGTATAATGAATATAATCCTCACTTGGTATAACATTAATGGTTTCTTCTTTTATTAAACTATTCAAACTAGTGCTTTACAAAATCAAGTCAAAATTTAAATTTGCAGAGTACTAATCCAAATCCATATTAATTACTTAATAACCCATCAGTCATAATAGTATCACATAAAAGAACTCTTTTTGCAAATCCATTGTACAAAAATTAACTAAAAAATCGTTCATCTAAAACACTTATATCTTTTTATTTTACTAAGACAATCTGTCCTGGCGTCTTAAGTAAACTTGTTCAGCTCATCAATTTACATATACTCTAAAATTTTATAAATTTATCTCTTAAATTCATAGAGAAACTGTACTGACGACCTTTGGCTTCCAGTTTTAAAATTTTAATCCTCTTGCAGTTTCTATTACAATAACTTATCTTATATCTTTAATTAAAGTTGTAGTACACACTTGCCTGGTCAAAACAAGCTCTGAAAAAAGAATTTTGACCCAATATTTGCTAAGATACAGCTAAATTTATCTTTTACTCTCTTGCAAAAGCTTTTTTCTATTTTTTGTCCTTACCTTATCCCCTTTTTCTCTTACATGGTTTTCGTGTAACCATATCATTATTTCCTAAATTATATTTTATCAATTTACACCAAAATCCTATACTTCATCTATTTATAGAAATTCATTGAACACAATCAGTTACTTTTTATTTGGTTTTTATTAATTGTACACAACAATTTGTGTTGCAAACCTTATTTGCACCAGTACCCGAGTCATCTTTGTGACCCAATCACTTTAGTTACACACCAGTATTACATCTGTAATACCTCTATCATACAACCTTTGTTTGTATCCATCACCTTTGTAAAATTACTATCCAACTATTAGAAATTTTTCTAAGTTTTTAACACAATATTCATTTATCTTATAACAAACTTTAAAAATGCCTACATTAACCAACCAAGATCCTAATACTGCAGACCTTGATTACTTCTACCAAAACTATTCTAACAGTTTTGGAATTGCTCTTTATGAAGAAGAAAATGGTAACAACGCTTATCTAATCCCTTCTAAAGTCAAACCAACTACTTGTTTAACTAAAAACCTCAGATCCAACAAAATTACTCATTTTTTTTAAGCTCCTACTTCTACTTCTGTGATTACTTGTCTTTGTGGAAAATACTACACCAAATTCATCTCAACTACTAACACTAACCACATCCAAGCTACTGAATTCACTACAGTTCACATTAACAGTAATGCAAAAAAGAATCTCAATAAACCAGCCCAACAACTCCTAACTAATCTTACCTCTTCAACTGACAACATCCCTCCATCTCCCACTTCTGATGTACACTATCATACCTGCCCCAAATGTTCTCTTCCAATTGGCTATATCAAGAGAAATGATCGCCATTACTCAAATAAAAAATACATCACTAAAAACAATAAAATCTATCACCCTACCTGTATGACTGCCTCATCCCAACATGAAGCTAGCTCATCTCAAACCAAGAAAAACCTCACTCAAACTTTCCAAAACATCTTACATGAATCTTCTCATACTACTAATTCCTTTACTACCTTTTCTCATCAAACCTCTATTTCTTCTGATCTTATCAACTCTTTTTTTGCTACAACTACCAATACTAACTCTATCTTTAATCAATCTTTAACTACTAACATTCCTGATAACACTAATTTAAATCTAAATAATGCTAACAATACTAACCCACCTGACAGTATTCCTAACAAAACTCCTCTTCAAACCTATTCTAGTGTTGTTAAACCAAAATCTAATCCTATATATGACTGGCTTGCAAATTTTCCAATCACTGAAGAAATGCAACCCAACAAAAATTACAAACCACATTTTCTCTTCAACTCTTTACTTTCCTTAAAAAATTTCTTTATGATTTTTATTCTGGTAAAGAAATTAAACCTGCCACCTCTATTTAATCTGTACTCAAAGCCTCATTTTATTATATCATCTGTATTATGGCTAGTCAACGACCAGAATTCTTAACTGACCTCATCTATAGTAGCAATCCTAACATTGACAAAAGTGCTACTATTCTTTTCGACCTTCTTAAATCTACTCTTAAAAATCTACTTCTTAAATTCACAACTGTCCTTTTTACAAAACTCAACTATCTTGAAATCTTTGCTTCACCAGTCACCATTCCTCCATATACTGCTCATAACCATCTTCAACTCTGCCTTAATCTTGCACGA